GTGGTTCACCACAAACAACTAGTATTTTTAAGGGATTATCCGCCACCTCCCTATTCTCCTTGAATATTCTTTCAATGTTTTGTTTGTTAATTACTAGTTGATCTTGATCATTAACCGAAAATAGTTGGATCGGCATTTTCGATGCTAAATGTTTGAGTAAATTTAAAAATTATTCTCAGTTTGCTAAAAACAAAATAATAGTGTATTGAATAAAATATATTCTAATACTGCATTATGAGTAATAATTTTATGACACATACAAAAAATATTTTCATATCATTTATTATTAATGATAAACAACAGAACATTTAAACAAATGTGGAAAAATTATTTTTACTGTATACCAAAAATATTTGTATTCATACTCTATTATTAAATATTACTTACTATGTAGCTGTGATCAAAAATACAGTATATTGAATAAGTTCACAATTATTTTCAACAATTTATTTATTTATTTTCGCCACAATTAAACTCCAAATAATTCATATGAATTAAAAATATTTTAATTCTACAGTAATTTATTTGTACACACTTTTGTAAAGCACTTATTTTATAATATATAACATATTATCATAACGTATTACTACCCTGTTAAGGTACAGGTAAAGCAAACATTGTAATAAACAAAAATGTGATTATTGCTATTAGAGACTATTGATAGTTATATAATATTCTAAGTGGTCATTTACTAAACAGTTTTAATTTTTAGCACTTATCACATATACTTGTATAAACCAAATAAAGTATGATAAGTTTAATATATAAATAATCATTTTTATTATAAAAACATAAAATCATTTATTATACAATCATTTTTACTTATACAAGAACAGCTTTATAAGTATTACTATATGTCTGTGAATCACCAATTGCGATAAATAGTTGTTTTAGTATATGGGGAAACCCATTATATTAAAATAGGGATGCTATTAAAGTATTGTAACGGTAGTTTTATATGGTGCTGTTACGTAACCAAATAAGGGTACAAATACTGTATGTCTCGCCCCAACATCGCCAGTAAGCGCTATATTATATTTTGTAGAGAATATTCTGTTCACAATGTATCGCGTGTATTGACAAGTGAGTAGTCCTGACGATCACTCGTGTATTTGTATTTGTATTTGTGTCGTATGTTTTCAATGAATAAAATGTAGTTTTATACATAAATCGTGTAGTTTCTAGAGTGAACCCCTCCTTAAACTACTCTAAACCTCCTTCCTGTTGGGGTGTCCCAAATTGGCCCAACATTTTATTCATTTTACGTACAATCATTAATGTTACAAAATATCTTAATTTTATAATTAACATATCAAATTTACAATTACTATAATAACTAAACTAACGTGAATTTTAAGCCAAAATGATTTTATAGCTTGTTAATTATTAATTATGTACAAAACGAGTTTATTAATCAAATAACAAGCTAAAATTACATATATTGAGCAAACAACTCAAATAATAATGTCAACATAGATTGTGGTATTACTCTCTGAGGCTCCCCATTTAAACCCGCCAGGTTCACCATTTTACACCCTTCCCATCCGTACTGGTATTTTGTACTATATTAAAATAGGCATTGTAATATGTAAAAATATAAATCCAATTACAAATAATTAGCTAGGAATGAGTTTTAAGTAATCAGGCGCACTCACCAATAAACAAGTTCGCATAATTTATACAGCCTGTCCATGTAGTTTTTTAAATATGATAAAGCCTCAGGTACCTCTTCGTAAACCTTTTTGCGATAATCTAGAAACGCCCTTGATTAAATTATATTTTAATTTATTTTACAAATATACATTATTAAATGATAAATATTACTAACTTATGTTACGTTATAATTGTTTACTATTATTATGTTACTATAAATAAAATGTAAATATTAAACGTAGTCATGCACATAATTTATAATAAAATATAAAATATTTATAATTAATTCACCAAATTTAAATGACCCCGCACTTACCAACAGGCATACTTCTGTTTTTTTCGTGTCGGGCGTTGTCGATGATCCAAATGAACCGGCTTTTAGTTCATACTTATAATGAGCCAATTGTTTCATATGATTGTTCACTTTTCTCCCGTCACTCGTGTAGTCCAACCACGCGATAGGGTTGGCACACCAGTTGGCATATGTGGCCAAATGGGTTACCGTTCCCACCAATAGTATGGCCTTCGATAGGATTTTCAGTGGGTATCGGAGAATGATATAGAAAAAGCAATATGTCCCCGAGTATATGAATTCACTGAAATAGCAAGAGTGAAAAAGTAAATTTATAAATTATTTAACATGCTAGGTTTGGTAAGTATACAAGAAGTTTGCATGTTGAAAACGTATTTACAATTTTACTTTAATTATAAAATACAGTATTTATCCTTGCTAACATGACTATATTAAACAATAATACTCCACTCACGCACAACTCAGAACATGTCCGCCTAAATCCATGGGAACTCCTGAGTAGGGTTCATCCAATCTGTCTATCATGGCAAACCTATCATCCAGGGCCTGGGCTAGTCCACTCATTTCCCATTTTGAAATCACTTGACTACCGGTGCCAATTATATGTCCAATTTTCTTACCAGCCTTTTTAAATATGCCATCATTGGGTATGCCTAACCATGATAGTCCCTTTCCAAATCCATGTCTACTTTTAATGGTTCCTTTGGGAACACCAACTTTGGGAACATCATTATCGTGATCATCCGCGTCCCAAACCGGTCGCCCATTGCCAATAGGCCTAATAGTCTGACCATCGGGTGAGTCAGGAATATCAACGTAGTTAGGACTGGACAGGCAGTCATCTATCCGATCGGTTAATATTAGTATACATGACAGGAATGTCAGCCTTTTTAACTCTATAATGATTACAATATTTATATTACACACACATGTGCAGTACATGAGCACTACATAAATAGTAATTATTTCAAAAAAGACTTAATTAATTTAAATTTATAGAAAACTCTGTCTAATAATAACTTTTCTAGTTTTACTGAATATCATAATTCCTGATAATAATTGCTATCAGTTTATCAGTTTAAAATAATTATTAATCATTTTAAAAATTATTGGAAAATGTTTATCATAATTGTAACACAAAATTCATTTAAAAAATACATTTTCATTATAAAAACTGGTCAAACAATTCAAAAAATAGGGAAAGCATGGACTGAGGTAGGAGACGCTCCGGTACGCGATTTGTGGGCGTTATGTCAGTATCGGCACAGGCTTTAGACTCGTACTGGTATTCAATGCTATTGGATAAAGTTAGACATCGATTATTATCAAATATGAAGTAAATAGCTAGATTACTCTTACCAGAAAATCATCTCGCACAGTTTATATAGCCTGTCCATATAAGCCTTAATATAACTCAACGCCTTCGGGACCTCCGCGTAGATCTTTTTTCTATAGTCTTGAAATGCACTGAAAATGTGTTGGAATGGGATTACATTACAAAATATTTTCATTAAACACAAAATGATCAATTCAGTTTTTAATAATTCCTAATAGATTTTAATATATTGCCCTACAAATAACATATTTCATATTAAATTAAAACTTATAACGCCTAAACCAAACTGACCAGCATGCATATTTCTGTTTATCCTCGTGTCGGGCTATATCAGTGACCCAAATGATCCTACTTTTGAGTTCATCCTTGTATTGGGACAGTCGTTGGATGTGTTGATTGACTTTATGGCCATCGGAGGTGAAGTCCAACCACGCGATAGGGTTGGCACACCAGTTATAATATGTGGCCAAATGGGTGATCGTTCCCGTGAATAGGATAGCCTTTGACAAGATTTTCAGTGGGTATCGGATGATGAGGTAAAAGAAACAATATGACCCGGAGTATATGAATTGACTGACACATGATTCGCGAGTGTTATTCATATACTGTTAATTTAAATTCACTTTATATTTCATAACATAAATTTATGTAACATAATTTATGTAGGCCACTTACAGTATAATAAAATTCAAATTGCTTGTGAATTCAATTTTAATTATACAGGTATTTATATTTTTAAAAATAACTCTATTCAGATGCCATAAATTATGTCACATAAAAAATAAATTGCTTGAACATACTCAATTATTAACAGGTACATTTCAACTCTGCTATCATGTGAGTGTACTTTTTAGTGTTTATACTGTCATATGAGAGCGGAGTTGAAGTATACCTTTTGATAAATGGGTAAATACTAAACAGGTCACACATACTGTATATAAATATGAGGAACTGTATGCAAAAACATTATACTTAAATTATCAACATTGCCTAAAAATGTTATAAAAGTCAACAAGGCTATTAATGAGCAAATAGTCAACCAGAATATACCCAAAAATTTACACCAATATATCCTGTTATATAAATATATTTCATAATACGTTTTTTCAAGTACCTGGATAATTTTGTAAATTGATTTACTGTAATTATGACCATAATTAAATTGTCTCAAATAGGATGCTAGTTTTTTATTCAACTCTATAAATTTTATTTCCAAATAGTAGGTAATCATAAAATAATATGCAGCTTGGTAGATCCATATGTTAAATATATAGTGTACCCAAATAGCAATACCAATTCTGTGAGGTAAGCCTATAAATATCCACAGTTTAATGGATACCTTTCCCCAACAACTTATGGGAAACGGCATGATCGAAATCACACCTAACATTATTGGACACCATTTGGTTACAAATAATGATTTTCGATAAATATTTCTTAACTTCAACACCACATCCATGTCGTGAATACCAATATTTTTCGGTGCAATAAAACCGGACATCATCTCAAATACCCGTAAATCCTGAGGTTTTATACGATTCCTATAGTTGTAGTAATTTATAAGTTGTGAACTAATAGCTAGTATACCGGCCACTATGCAACTACTGTTAGCGATAATACCAGTGCCCATAAAGTACTCCACGTCACCCCAGTATAAACGGTAAGTAGCCGGTACATCTAGATTTCTGTACTTTAATAACAATAAAGGTCTTATGAGATACTGAAACAAACATATAAATACAATAATAGGGTTGTAAAATAAACTTCTTTTAATATTGGATTTAGGTTTAAATAATGACAGTCCTATCCGATAGAGGTGACTGTCCGCACCCGGTAAACGCAAATCAGGTGAAATCATTTGAGATAGGTCATGTTTTAAACTCATTATTAAATGAATAATATTATACTAGTGTATTATACT